TTTTTTTTTTTTTTTTTTTTTTTAAGCATTTCACCCCAAGCAAGGCGGGAAGCCACTAAGACGCAAGGGGTTACAGAAAATTTAGAGCAAGATCAGATAGGAGTGATAGAAGAAAGGATGAGGAGAAGAGTAGTGGATAGATCAAGGCAACTGGAGATGTTGATTGACATTACACTTGGATAGCTGGAGATTATAGCTCTCAGGGAAACTGGAATAGGGAAGGGAGTTCCACAGGCGAGAGGTGCGAGACATGAAGCTATTGAAGTAAAAGAGACGGTTACATTTAGGAGTTTCGGCAGTGAAGGGGTGAGAGTGGAATGCCAGCCTCGTATGGCGCTTGAACTCATGACGTTTGGGAACCAGCGAATGCAGCTCCTTGGAGCAATTTCCATGAAAGTATTTGTAGAACAGACAGAGGGAGGCGACGGCGCGTCTGTGAGAAAGTGACTGTAGACGAGATGCCAGAGCAGGGCTAATTATATTGCATATCCGCCTCTGGAGCCTATCAAGAACCCGGAGGTAAACAGAAGGGGCACCAGACCATATATGGCAACAATACTCCATGCAAGGGCGAATTGTTGATTTGTAGATCTGGAGGATCGACTCCGGGGAGAACTGTAAAATTTCATATTAATCAATATAGCACGCACGGCCATCATATTCTTATTAAATTGATATTCAGAGAAAAGTATACAGTATAAGCATAAAAAGACTAAAGACATTTTATGGCTTATTCATCAAAGAAACTGCCTATATTTTTCAGTTTAGAATCAAATAGAATAAATATATTCCTCATAAATAAACATACAATTCTAATCTACATAATACCGCGAGCGGTTTTATGTTTGTTATAAGCTCCCTTCAAATAAAGTTAGAAAATTATTTTATATTATAACGTTCCAATTACTAAAGCCCATTATGGAAAAAAGCTAATACATCAAAATTTTCTTGAGTATCACAACCATAAAATATATTATTCTAGAAAATGACCAATGACAATTGAAAGCGCTCCAAAATATACGCACGGGTAATTGCTTCATTAGGATTCAAAATGTTGTACGAAAACAAGAGAAAACCATGAAAAAATGTTAATCAAAACCATGAACAAAGCAGACATTATCTTTGGACTATAATAAAACCTTTTAAATGAAAAGAATTTGAAAAAATATAGATTTTTATACATAGAGGAACACGCTGCCCGTCACATAAATCGCTTCGCGTTGTATCAATATAACTTAGGCTGAGTTATATGTAATTTCTGTTTTAGGATTCGAAATAATGATATGTGGTAGTTAAGCATACATTTCAAATAACATACGTTAGATTTTTTTTTGTTTTTTTCACGGCAATCGCAGCGTACATGGCGGATTAAAGACAAATATTGCTCTCCTCAATGTCAAAGACAAGAATAACACAGGAAAAATGTTTGGAACTCGGTTGATCTGTTCTACTCTACTAGCCACATTCAACTGACCTTGCACCAACCGAGCATTATTTTTTCCGATCGCGGCAAAGCGCTTTGATGATTCGATTTCTCTAATGAAAACCAGAGTCACTAGTTTACCGAAAACCTTTTCACATTAAAACCTGCTGAATTGTACTCAAAAAATTTCGAAGAGCTGTCTGATAAGTGGCAACAAATCATTGCGAACAACAGTGAATTTTTGAAAAATAATAATAATTGCATTTGATTGAAGAAAGTGTTCTTAAATCCCTCTAAATGCATAATAACATCCGAATATTACATAAAAAAATGCTTCATCTTCGACGCCATTAAAACCATTTTTACATAGACTATTTTAACAAGTGAATGTTGATAAACGGAAACGGAAATTATTTAGAAATAAACAGAATTACATAAATAATCATTGTAAAGTAAGGATTTCTTTGCAGTATGATGATAATATTCTGCGAATTTAAGATGGTTTGTACTGCGCACATGTAAATTTCAGATTTAACTCTAGTAAATGTTTCATTTCCACAAAAACAATAAACAAAGAGAAAACGTATTACCGCCGATACACGTCTTCTGGCGTAATCACGGTTTCAGTTTGCTTACAGTAGCAGTAGAGGTTTGATTTTTTTTTCTTCTAACAACATATAAAATGTCTTTATTTATTTATTTTATTTTATTTTTATTTTTATTTTTTTTTTTTTTTTTTTTGGTTTCTAATATCTCCTTCGTGAGATAGCAATAATGGACACGAGGAAACCTATAAATGAGAATTTGCGAAAAATTTATAGACGCAAAAATTTGAAATAATTCAAAGATATGCTTGAGGAGGAAAGAGAAAAGATGTTGCATCGTCGTTTGGATTGAATGAAGCAGTAAAATGAACAATTTTTAGCTTAGCCGATGACTACAAGAACAAAAAACGTTCATCTTCAACTGTCATTCAATCAACTCGAAATCGAAGTGAGAAAAGAACTGAAATGGAACGACCGTTACTAACATCGATGTAAGGCAGTAAGCAAAAACATCTCCGGCTTAGGGTTATATGGCATTGAAACACCGATTCTCATATGATCACTGAAGTTAAGCTACGTAAAGCCTGAACAGTACCTAAATGGGTGACCGCTTGTTAATACTAAGTGCTGTAAGTTTGAATGATGTGCGGGTGGTGTAATGGATAACGGCTCGGAATTGTAGAGCGGAGAACAATTTTCAATTCCAGAATGGGTCTGTTATATTCACTTACGCGCCAATACCCTAGGGAAACGTATGAATCTATCGCTTCCTCACAGCTATGGGTTAATTATTACGGTATTTATCAGAAAATCATTCTTATCTTCATAAAAAATTATTGCAATCTAAAATTATTTTCTGGCTTTAAATAACCTGCAAAGCCATAAAAACTCAATCAAAACAGCAACTTCTACAGAATACAAAGAATCAAAGCTTTGAGCAAATTCCCAACTTTCAAAAATGACGAAGAAATAATTGTAAAAATGTTGTATAAAATTGGTTGACTCCAACCGTTCAAAAACTGTGCAAGATTGTAGAAGACTGGAATTCAAAATTAATCTTCCCCTGTTTGGCCAAAAAGATATAAAATAAATCATTACAGAATTTAAAAAACCTTGTAGAAGAAGCAATGATAACTAGTAGATCTTCAATGTTGATGAAACTATGCAGATATTACTATATTGATGGTAGACATAGAAGAGTGTTGGACTGCAACTGTTATATAATAATGTCATCCGTATAGCCATAAAAGTTTTGCGCAAACTTCATCAATGCTAATTAATAATCGCAATGAAATTCTAGAATGGATCACGGAATGTATTATATATCTCCCACCAAAAACTGGTGAAACAGGCAATTCAAAAAATTATCGGCCAATAACGTGTCTGTCCACCACATAAATTGATCACGTCTGTTCTGACGAACTATATTTACTCTTTTCCCGATGAAAACAACATTCTTCCCCTGGAACATAAGGAATATCGAAGAGGTTGATATGGTTGCAAAAATTAACTACTAATAAATAAAATGATACTGGAAAATTGCAGGAAAAAAGGAGGAAATCTCAGCACGATTTGGGTAGATTACCGTAAAGCCTTTGATAGTCTGCCACACTCTTGGATCCTTAAGGATTTCGAAATGTACAAAGTCTTTTCGGTGATAGTAAATTTCCTTAGATATAGAATGGAATTGTGGAAAACCACATTATAACTCAATAGCACCAAAGATACTGCCACTTCCAGTTGTTTGAATATCCTATGAGGAATCTTTCAAGGAGGCTCCCTGTCGCCCCTTCTCTTCTGTTTGTCCTTAATCCCCCCACTTCGAATGAACTAAACAGTAATAACTATGGATACAAAGTAAAGAAAGAAAACATTTAACCACCTATTCTACATGGATGACATAAATCTCTTTGCCAAAGACCACACTGAGTTGAAGTAAAATATTTCAGTGATGGCATCAGTATGGTTTTCGAATTCGATAAATGTGAAAAAGTAACATTCAAGAAAGGTAGAATTACTGAAACACACTCGACAGATCTAGATTTTGTCACAGAGATTATGGAACTGGAACAAGAAGAAGCCTATAAATACCCAGGAATCAGCGAAAGTGATGATGGAATACAGCATACCCAAATGAAGGAGAAAGTAAGAAAAGAATACTACAAGCGTGTACGCCTCGTATTTAATACCAAGTTGAATTCACAAAACAGAATATCAGCCACATAAGCACTTTGGATGTACCTGTGATGCAATACATTTTCAATATCCTTAATTGAACCATAGCTAACATTAAGCGAATGGATGTGAAAACGTGAAAGCTTCTCACTTGGCAACGCATGCATCAATCTAAGAATAATGTCCATCGTCTGTATGTGTCCGGATCCGAAGGAGGCAGAGGATTAGTTCAACTAGAAGCGTCTTAAAAACATAATAAACGGTCTTCGAAGATACCTGGAAATGATAGAAGGGATCATGATCTGTGTCAAAGAACGTGAAAGAAATAAAAAAAAAAACTTTGTACAGTAATATAGGGAGGCAACAAAATCAAAAGGGAATTTCAATTGGGCGAAGAAGAGCAAATAAACCCTAATACACCTACTGCAGTGGCAAAGAACCTAAAAAAGAAAGTAAAAGCAAATGTAATGGACCAAATGAAGAAACGATGGTAAGATAAGCCTCTTCATGGTCAATACTCTGTCCGTACCAAACAAACTGATTTAGACAACCGCCGTACCCATCAGTGGTTACGTAGTGCTGGGTTAAAAGCTGAAACAGAAGCACATGATCAATGCTTGCTAACTAGAAATTACCAAGCACAAATACGGAAAAAAAAGTTATGTGATAAATATCCAGAAAGAATTGACCATCTTGTATCAAGTTGCACCCACTGAATATAAAAATTGGCATGATCGAGTAGGCCATTATGTACACTGAAAAATATGTAACTTTTACGGGAATTTATCTTCAAGAAACCGATATGAACATAACACGGACCCAGACTGTCAAAGCTAATCGCCCAAACATCGTGATCAAAAATCACAAAAAAGGAATTTCCTTCCTTATTGACATAGCTGTCCCTACAGATTTCAATGTATTTTCGAAAATCTTTAAAAAAAAGTATCAAAATACAAGAATCTTGAAGTGGAAATCACAAAAATGTGGCATATGCGAACATCCATGATTCTAATTGTAGTTGGAGTACTCGGATTGATTGGAAAAGGTTCCGATAGACTCATTAAAGGGATTTCTCGTAACCCATGCCTTAAATAAATACAAAGAATTGTACTTACAAGTACAGCTCACACATTACGAAGAGCTTTATCTATATAAAATATGTGTGATCTTAGTATTTTTTTTGTTTGTTTGTTTGTTTTACAAAAATGATCAGTGGAAAATGTCATGAGTCATCCCTAACCTTAGCTCTTTTTGGGGGACCCGGAATTAAATGTATACACAACAGAAATCAAAGCAAATAATAATAATAATAGGAAAAGACCATGTTCCCAACAGTAAACCCCAACAACTTTCTTCAATTTGCTTTCCGGTGTATCAGAGTGAATTCTTACTTCGCTATTGTCGACGCAACCCTAACGTTAACACACCACAGCTTACTTAGTTCCCTGAAAATGTCATGGTTTTTCGGTTTCTTTCAAGTTGAGCTTTTAGGCAGATGATACAGCCAGTTCCAGGTTTTTACGAATTTTCTTTTCTGTGTTTACATCGACCTGTTCCATTATTATGTCATCCAATTTTCCTGAGTTGTTGTTTGATAATCTTTCACCAAGTTTTTTTTTACTCGAGACATGTGATAAAAGAACGTTATTCTTTCTTTTTTTAAATGTTATTGAACATATTTGATTGGAATAATTTTCTGAGCATGTAAGCATTGCTCAGAAGCGATATCTTTTGTTGTATCTCAGATAACGAAGTTGCTTTTCTGCTCATGTAGTCTTTTCTTTAAATCTGAATGTTTTGCTAATTTTTTTTTCATTTTCTTGGTTGGTTAATTGGTTGGGTGTAATTGGGGTTTTCATTTTTGGTGGGGCCGCTGTTTTTTGGTGGGGGCCACTGTTTTCATTCAGTATGACAAAATCCTGCTGCTGATGTAAAATTAATTCTTGGGTTTTACATTGATTAAATTTGTAATTGTTTTTTAAGTGTTTGCGATAATATTTATACTGCGCCTAGCTAAATGGATTCCCAATTTCATTAGATATAGACTTTATCGATAATATAATGTCGCTTATTTATGCGTTGCTGTTTATAGTTTTCTATTTTCATTTTGTCGGTTTTGTGTATTTTTCTTTAAACGTCCTAAATGAAGTAACAAAAATAAAGGAGGATTTTAAAAGTAGTTGCAATTTTTATTTAGGGAGATATGTGAAACAGCCGATTCTAAAATCTAAATAAATATACCACATTTTTCTTTTTGGTAATGCAGATTTTTCTTTTCAAATAAATAATGTTTTGGATGACGCCGTACTCTTAAAAAATCTTCTCAAATTAAATTTTATCAAATATATATATATATATATATATATATATATATATATATATATATATATATATATAGTGGACTCTCCCGTCGGTTTCGACATATGAGGATCTGACAGCTTATTGATTCAGTTAGGAAATTTTGTGCGATAATCTTAAGTGGCATTTAAGACCCGCTAGTGATTTACAATGGAGTCCACATATGGAGCAAGTGTGAGGATTGTGAAATGAGATCACTGTTAGATTGGCTGACCTTTTATATCTTGCTCTCGCTTCTTGAAGATGATTCAGACAATCAGATTGAAAATTGCTGAATCCACTAAAACACATTGATCTCCATTATACCCGCTCCAAAGCTAAGCGCTCAGGGGTGTTATGTCATATATATATATATATATATATATATATATATATATATATATATATATATAGGAATACTGGGTTTGTATAGATGATTCAAAATTCCGATAACCAAAACCACTATTTAATTTTTTTTAATTTTTATAGCTATAATGTTGTTATCTTTATTAGTACAGATATTAAGGTCTTTTCGCCATCTTTATATATTTCTTTATATCTTACTACAATATTCCTTTTGCACGTCCGTTTTTCAAGTTAACTTTTTTTTTTTATTCTTTGCACTTGGAAAGAAAAAGTTCCTTTTATATATATATATATATATATATATATATATATATATATATATATATTATCACTTAAACGTTGTTTTTAGTGGATACCAGTATTGGAGTAGACGCTCCATTTATTTAGTAAAAAGTATATTTATTCATTTTCATCTACCAATCTGAATATTCGAGAAATCTTAAAAGAAAAGATGTACCCTCAGGCAGGATTCGAACCTGCATCCCCTTTAGCAGGAGAAACCGTCATTTGATCCGACGTCATTTAGGCTACTTCGGTCACGATGGATCACACCAATCATTCAAAGCCAAATAGTTCCCTATAAGCGCAAATTTCTTCAAAGATTCTTCAAAAAATCCATATCTGCTGAGTTTCGTCTCCTAATGTAAGCAAAACAAAGAGGTAACGAATATTTCGTCTATTAATCTAACAGTTATTTTTAGTGGATACCCATATCTGAGTTTGCTTTTATAGGGCACTATATCGGCGAGGTCCTT